CGCCCCCCCCCCGGAGCCCCTGCCCCCGCCCCCGTGGCTCCTCCCCGGCTACTCCCAGGCTCCGCCTCTGGCTCCGCCCTCGACGCTCTGGCTCCTCCTTCCCGTCTCTTGACCCTGCCTCTCTCCTTTCAACTCGCTCCTTGCCCTTTTGCGTTACCTTCTCCGGCTTTTCCCGGATTGCTCCTCCCAGCTCCGCCCTCTTCTTCTTCCCTCCAACATGCTCCCGCCCATCAGGCCCCTCCCCTGGCCCGGCTGGCCTCCTCGCGGGTGGCTTTAGCGGGTAGATTCTGGGCTTGGCTGAGTCAGGCTGGTCGCTTTCCTCCCCCGCGGCCTTCGGGGCAGAAACCCAGGCAGGGGCCTCTTCCCATGCCGGCTAACTATTTATGCCTTTCACCAGCTCCTGGAAAAGCCAGTCAGAGTCCCCAAGTCACCCCTCTTCCCTAGGCGGTGCGGATTATGTTCCCCCGCCAGCCTGAGCTGCGAGCAGAGACAGAGAGAGGAAGTGAGTCCGGAAATACAATCCCAAGGAGCTGGTTGTGGGGATCCATGCTGAGCCAGTTAGGAACGTCCTCTGTTTTGGTATTTTATATTAAGACCAATATTTGACAACAGCAGGCATTCAATAGACACGCACTAACAAGAAAGTAGAAAAAAATAGAAAATACACAAGTGTTAGAAGCATAGGGCTAAATAGCGAGGAGGAAGGGAGTGCAATGCAGGTGTTTTCCTCTCTCCGCCTGGGCAGAGTAAGTCTGAGAAGACTTAGTTAAAAGAGTCAGTTAATGAAGTGAAAGGCGTTTAGTTTGGTTGAGGGTAAGAGATGGAAAGCTTGTGGAAGGCTTCCCTCCCAAGCATCTTTGAGCTCAGTCTATCTTGAGCGGCCAAGTGGTGTCTTGAACAGAATGGGTTCTGGGAGAAAGACTCCTAGGTCAGGCCCAGTTACAGTTCTACCTAGCTGTGTGATCTTGAGATTGTGGTTAAACTAATGATCTTTACTCCCACTCCTAATTCTATAAACCAGTTTTGTGCTCCTGTCTCCTGCCTTCTCTGATGTGTTAGAAGGAAATAAGAGAAAAAGACAAGAGGAGAGACAAGAAAAAAGAGACAGTACTTTTAAACTTCTGCTCAAATAAAAGCGAGAGATCCCAAAGCAGGAAAGAGTTCCAGATTGCTAATGATATCAGTCCACACTGATATCACTGTTTAATTCCCATAGCACAGACAGGCCCATGACAACAAAATATCTTGCAATCTTTTCCCCATACCTTAGCATAAGGGCTGGAGGTCGGGCTGCTACTGTATCATCTTTGTGATGTGATTTTAAAAAGAAGATAATAAAGATGAGTTCAGTGGACACACCAACTTCTGATTTGCTGAATTTTGTCATATGTTGACTTTCTTTAGCAAAAATGATAATGAGAAAGTCCTATGAAGACTGTATGTCTTGAAAATTATTGGGACCAGCAGTTGGTGTAATGCCTATGTTGCTAGACTCCCATTTAGTCGACTGCGGTTTGCATCCCAGACCCAGTGGCTTAAAAAAACTCACACCAGGTGCGTGTGCATGCCTGCCTAAGATCCCGAGAGGAGAATGGAGGAGAAGGGATTGCGGTGTGGCCATTCCCCCTGGGGGGTGATTTCCCGCTTTCTGTCTCTCTGTCTCTCTCTTGCTGGCTGGCGAGCACATGCGCCATATAGCAAAAACCTCTCCAAAAAACATTTAAAAAGAGAGAAAATTATTTTCTCTTTTTAAAATCATATTGCCAGATATGAATAAAACAATGCTGCTATGTAACTATTTTAAAATAATTGATAAGTAGATTGAAACTTTCTCTGATGTTTTAAATCAGCAGTTTCAATTCTGGCTTCCTACTAGAATCACTTGGGAAGCTTCCCCAACATGCCAAAGCTTAGACCTCAGGCCAATCAAACCAGAATTTAATTGTGGTAGGGTTCTGGCATCAATATTCTTTTTTTTTTTTAAGTCCCCCAGATGATTCTAATGTGCAGCCAGTATTGATCACCACTGTTTGAAATGAAATTAGTTAGAAAAAAAATCTTCCTGATGGGCTGAAAGGGAGAACTTAGTTAAAAGATACATGGACACATGTAAACATGTGGAGTGTGTTATAGATTATAGCTCAGCAGAGTAAGGAACATTAATGACAATTTAATATTTATCTGTGAATAACTAGTAGAGTGAATTTTGAATGTGTACAACACAAAGAAATAAAATTGGAGATAGTGCATATGTTTATTTCCTTGACTTGAATTATTACACATTGTATACATGCTACGAAAAACCATACTGGGGAACCAGCAGTTAGCGTAATGGCTATGTCGCTGGACTGCCACGTAGTCGACCGCGGTTCGCATCCTGGACTCAGTGGCTTAAAACTCATGCTGGGCACGTGTGCGTGCGTGCCCAAGATCCCAGGAGGAGAATGGAGGAGAAGGGATTGTGGTGTGACCATCCCCCCTAGGGGGTGATTTCTCGCTTTCTGTCTCTATGTCTCTCTCTGTCTGTCTGTCTGGCGAGCACATGCGCTCTATAGTGAAAACCTCTCAAAAAAAAAAACAACCATACTGTACACTACAAAGATGTACAACTATATAGGTAAATTAGAAAGTACAATTTATTATGTTTTAATTTTAAAATTGTAAGGTTTATTTTAGTTTTTTAATTTTTTTTTATAGAGCATATACACTTGCTGGAGGCAGAGAGACAGAAAAAGTGAGAAATCACCCCCAGGGGGATGGCCGTGCCCTAATCCCTTTTCCTTCATTCTCCTCTTGGAATTTTGGGCATGCAAGTACAACTGGCACAGTTTCAAGCCTCTGGGTTCAACACTAGAACTGTGCTGTTGGGGCCAGCAGGTGGTGTGGTGGTTTAGGCCACTGGACTCCCACATGGCCAATCCTAGTTTGAGTTCCAGACCTGGAGGCTTGCTTTCTCACTTTTCATCTGTCTCTCACTCTGTCCCTCTCTGGTCAAATTTAAATAAATTAATTAAATGAATAAAGTTAAATATGGTAATACTAAAACGAAAAAAAAAAAAAACTGTGCTGTCAGCCATGAGGGATCCAGCTGCCTTAACCTCCATACCACCTGCTAGCCCCAGAAATGACAATTTAAATTATATATCTATATATGCCATTCCTCCAAAGGATCGATTTCAAGAGAATGCCCTACAGACCATCATTGTCCATAATGGAAGCCCAGAGAATTGCTGGGCTCATTGAGACCCTGAGGAAGGGCTGCTGCTGCTTTTTTTTTTTTTAATAATTATTTAATTTTATTAATTTTTTTTTCAATTTCCTATAGGACATGCACTCAACAGAGAGAGAAAAAAAAAAATTAGAAAGCAAGCCACCAGGTCTAGGACTCAAACCATGGTTGGCCATGTGGGAGTCTAATGCCTTAAGCACCACACTACCTGCTGGCCCCTGAAAGGGTTTCCTCTTCCCCTTCCCTTCCCCTCCTTCTCCTTCTCCTTCTCCCTCTCCTTCTCCTTCTTCTTCTTCTTTTTGTAGAGGTTTTTGCCTTAGAACATGTACACTCACCAGAGAGAGAGACAAAAACAGTGAAAGTGACAAATCACTCCCCAGGGGGAGGCCATGCCACATCCCCCTCTCCTCTATTCTCCCAGAATTTTTGGCACACACACATATGTGCACTTGGCATAAGTTTCAAGTCACTGGGTCCCAAATCCCTGTCAGCCATGTGAGAGTCCCACAAAGTAGCCGCCGCGCCATCTACTGGCCCCAGAGAGAGGGGCTAGGATCCAGTTCTGGAGGTTCTTCCCTTCCCAACATTTTATTACAAAATTCCAAAACACAGCAACATTGGAATAAAAGAAAAATCTGCCTGACAGCAGCTTAGGAAAAAAACAGCTGTCATTAATGAACTAACAGCATTGTATAGGTTCGGTTACCTGTAAATCTGGAGTTAATAAGCAGAGTTCTTAGGAGAGAAGAAAACCTGGAGGGAAGATCCTCCCGAAACCTCTCTGACCCAAATGCAATCTGTTCTCTCCCTAAGGCTCCTAATATATACTTGGCCTTCGTATAGGCAGAGCTCTGACCTTGCTGAGCAAAGTGAGTGAAAAGAGTAAATGTTCTCTGTCCCTGGCAGAGTTCGCATTCCCCCCACTTTTTGCATTGCGTCTGTTATAGACTTCCTGAACTTTTAGACTGTGCTGCTTCTCTGCTCCCTGACTGGTCTCTCCATCCTGGGACTGGAGCTACTTGACAGCCTTTCTCTCTCTTTTCCAGCATCCTAATTTGAGGCCCTTCTGTCCTGGTTTCACCCAAGTCATAGTGGAAAGTTCTTGTTGCTGTTCTCTATTTTTTTTAAATGTTTGCTATAGGGTCCATGTGCTCCCCAGAGAGAGGGGGAGTGAGAAATCTCTCCCCCAAGGGGATCGCCATGCCACAATCCATTCTCCTACAGTCTACTCCTGGGATTTTGGGACACACACACACACACACACACACACACA